GACGCGACTCTTCGTCAGAGAGCGGCCTAATCCATTGAAACCGTTAGTCGGGGAGTCTAGTTACACAGCTCTTCGTCGCATAGTGTGCTCAGAGCATCGAATAGTGACAACGGGCCTCTCTCTGAGAGTTTTTTTTTTCTAATTCTTGTGCAAGTGAAAATGCAACACTCGAGTTTTGCGTGAAACTCGTCAAGATCACTGCGGAAACTGTTACTATTTACACTGTGGAAACTGTTACTGCTTACAAGGAACATGAGTTGTTAGAGAGGCAAGTGTTTTAATAGCACAATGCCTTTCCGGAAGGCTGAGAAGAAGTAGAATATGAGGGCAGCCCTCGGTACAGCGTCGAACGGCCATCAACGACCACCACGGCTGGCAATGTGACGTGAGTGATGGAAGTGTTGAACTAAGACCAATTGTGTGGCAGTTCCAACTTACAAGGTCAAAAGCCTTTATTGTCTCATGCTCGCGACCACCTGTCTCTATGTCCGTGCCCTATTAAAGTGCCAGGTGACCACCGGGGCGCTACATCGGTCACTACAGAAGAGGTAAAAACGCCGCCATATCGGCTGCGCAAGGGAGTACAAAGGCTGAATACAAAGCCTCCGCCATGCATTTGCGAGAGGTCATGCCGATTCGCACAGTCCAGAAAGGATTATGGTAGCGCCCAGAGAGCCGTTCTGGAAATGTTCTATAGTAGCGTCGGACTGTATACAGTGCTCGCGCTTCGCTTACGTGAAGTCGCTGTGACTAGCATGTCCAACCATGCAATGGAGACGCGTGCATCACGTTGCATTCTGAGAGACCCCGTCTCAATGGGCAGTGGCGTTCGCCGAACACACATTGAAATTTACATGCAAAAAGTGTCCTTCAATGTTCAGGTGAAAGTCCTCAAAACAGTAAGACGCAAGGCGCAACGCATCCGGCCTGGCATCTCAGGAACTGCAAGTTGCACCACAATAATGCGCCGACCCACCGTGCCTTCGTCCTCACCGAGGAAGGTTGTCAACGATCTCACGAACAGCCCGGACTTAGCTCCCCCCAATTTTTAACAAAGCGTTTAATGTCGGGGTCCACCAAGACTTCAGTGACGTATTCCAGCTACGGAAATGACGTCGGAAAAATAGACGTGACCGCATGGCAAAAAAAAAAAAAACTGTAATTGGTAGTTGAGTACATAACCTGCCGGTCTGTGAGGGCAGTAGCCGGGCATGCTACCCACAGCGCTATGATCACATGCTGCGAGGGCTATATAAAACGCACATTTTATATCTCACGTTTCAGGCATATCACATGCCCGTACTGGGCTTGTGTTCATTTCTCTATATTTTTCGGTCGAAACAGTTCCACTTCTTGGCAAATATCATAAAAAAATCTGACTTCACTGCTCTGTGAAACGTAACGGTCTAAGAATAAGCGAACAACTTTCACTTTTTTATTACACATTGTATTTCTATTACCAGAAAAAATGCGCTTATGGTTAGAACAGAAATCGCCAATCATTTTTCTGTTGCACATATGAACGACAGGCATGCTGCAGTACTGGGAGCGGAGAGTGTATTTATTATTAGGTAGTAACAGACTATAGGTCTGTTCTACCGAAAGCTGTCGAGGACCTGTGTTTGTATACGCTGCTTTGCTGCGTCCACTCCCGTGGCTGTGCGCTCTGACGCTACCGTATGCTCTTTAAAACTGCAATACCAGGTGCCTATGCGAACACTAATAGTCATTGTGCAAGCTCTCACACACCATGTATAGAGCAGACAATAAACAACTTGTGTAAGGACACGTTTTTTAATCGTATAGCAGGACATCATTTTTTCCCCGTTTCCACGCTTCAAAACACTCCTGAAAAGCGAGTATTCTCGGGCAGTATACGGGATCAATAAAGCTCGCACCAATACATTACATTACAGGCCATTCCGGAGTAAAATTACTGCAATGAATTTGAATGCTGGAAATCTCGCTGGAGCGGAAGTATCGACGCAAAAGGAGACTGCTTTGAAGACTTCCAAACACTTGTAATGATGAATTCAAAAGCCACAGTTTCGCCAAAAGGGAGAAGCAATGAATGCGATAGCAACATATTCAAATGTTTAACGAAGCAAAGCGAGCATTTTTAGGGGCAATAATAATTGTAGTAAACGTGTGCTTGCTAAGTAACCAAGTTTCCTGCGATGCGGCCACAGTATATGAACAAATGGCTCGTGCGTAGTGACAGCGTTGACGAGAAGCCTCTCCCGTGGGCAGCGCATGCTGGTACTAAGGGGTATACGTCGTGTGTCGCCGATTGTGGCAGTTTGTTATGTGTAGAACGCATCTATATGTGGACGGCCACTCCAGGTACACTTTTGGCACCGTTTTTTCGCGTTGAGACCACAGCCCGTAGAAGCTCCCGCCTGCTGTAGGGGCAAGAGGCGTATGCTGATTGTTGCCGCGTAAGCGCGGCAACCATAAGCGCCCATCCCCCTCCTTGTTCGTGCACAAGATAAGCGCGCGCGCAGACAACCTCGGCCGGAAAGGTGATGTTCGCTCCGCAGAAAGAGGACGCTAGTGCATGCTTCTTGGTATATATACGCACATATAGGGAACCGAAGCTTAAGTTTGCGGAGCGACATCAACGCCGCGCGCCTATATATATATATATATATATATATATATATATATATATATATATATATATATATATATATATATATATATATATATATATATATATATATATATATATATATATATATATATATATATATATATATATATATATATATATGAACAGCTGAATTAACTGAAGCAAACAGGCAGCTTCTATGGCGAGAGTAGACGCTTCACTGAGCAGGCTTGTCGTCGGTTCCAAGTAGGAAAAAAATCTCTCGAAGGGACCTTGTTTTTCGCTATAAACTGTCTCCGACATACCACGCGATGCTACTATGAACGGAAACTTGCTAACCGTGTCCTATTGCTCTTCTTTTATCGCTGTCTACTTTTTCATTTTATTTTTTTGCTTCCACTCAGATAGAAGAAATTGATGCGAGTGAAGAAGAAGTAACCAGCAGACTCCCTGGACAGCGGTTTCGGCAAGGTTCTACGCTCTACACTCTACAGCCGTTTCGGAAGCTTTATTGCATCGTGTTTGTGCTGTTGACCGCATGGACAGCAATTCAGGCTTGATAAAGTAGGCACGTGTGGGACTGCCTGATTTCTTGCTTGAAATGCTTTTCCACGCACAGCAGCTCTCCACATTTTCAGCTGAAGCACCTTTAGAGACCTTGGATAAAAGCAGCAACAGAGGACCTATCGATTTTAGGAGGGTGGGGTGTTTGAGGAAGTTTTGGTCCTGCATGAAGAGTATAAAAAAGAAAGCAGGATGCGGTTGATCTAGGTAGTATGGTACATAAAGGTGTAACGATGTTCCTGAAAAATGCGAAAACATTCTTTTTCAGGCTAGAAAAAACAGCCTAGAAAAACTAAGCCGAAATAGACATTTGAATTGTGTGTTCAGCGTAAGCAGCAAGAGTCAGAATTTTATAATTACCTAAACATATGATCCCATAAGATAATTTTCAGTTTACGAGGTGTACGTTTCTTAATTTCTGCTTGCCTTCAGAGGCGCACAATAAGAAAACAAATATATGCAGTGCTTCTATGCGCCCCTACATTATAATTTACGCCTAGGTTCTGCTCAATGATGGTAATTATTCTTTAAAATTATGTTTTGTGCATAAAGCGTAATCTTTTATTTTTTGTGATAGTCAATTGAGATTTCTTGCTTTGCCTTCCAATTATAAATTCGTTTTATACTTTCATCACTACAAAAAGCCAAGACGAAAACTTCTGTCAGCGAAGTTGCGCTTATCACAGTGTAGCCTAAACGATTACTAAATGGTGCCACATGCATTGTGTCCTTGTTTTGTACGCCTCGAGAAAACATAAAATGATTTACAATTGATATCAATTGTACTTCTGCAGGACCTGCATTTACGGACGACGAATGTACTATGCGAAATCACAATGCAACCCCAAGCCCTGACTTCACAACATGCTTTAAAAAGGCTCTATTTTTTTTTTTTTTTTGAGCGAGTGTATCGGAGGTAGAAGGCACCACGCGAAATATAAGTGAAATGACAGCAGTGAACTTTGATTTGTTTAATATAGCTTTAGCAGTTTCATGGCGCGATGTCAAGAGGGGAAATGAAACCGAGCATGAAATGGTATAAGTGCTTCTAAGTGATATAAGCACATGTTATTCTTTCTGAACTCCTTTCCTTTACTGGATAAATGCATTTCAAAATGAGACAGAAAAAGTACCAGCACTTTAAGGCAGAGGTCATTGTTTCTGACGTGTGATTGCTGATCATGCACTGTATCATCATCAGCTTTCGCAGCTATATGAGCTTCTTCACGTAACGCACCAGCTTTGTGACGAAGCAGGACAATGGCATCTCCACGTGAACCATAGGCAATGTGGCAGTTACTATTACACGAAGTTTTAATGAGATTCATTGCTTGCCTCACAAAGTAATTTGGGTATGAGGATAGATAGCCAGGTTCCTCTCATGCTTCTTTTGTGGTAGCTTGAATAAAACTGACATGGCACCACATGCGTCACCCAAGGCGACTAGAAGTCGGAAGCGTTCTTCCTTTTTTCTTCTCGGACAATGGTGTTGGTCCCCCATTCCGAAAGCTCTCTGCAGCTAACGGGGTTTCGCATTGCCTTTGTGGTCAAAGTATCTCTGACCAAGCGACTATATCATGTGTTGACGTCATTATGTGACACCACGTTATGCGATGCCGCATGTTGGCGTTATGACATGACATCATCGCTTGCTCTCTCGCGCCATCTTCCAGGGCAACAGCAGGACATCCTCACTATTCGGCTACAACACCTTCTGTTTACCTGTCACAAAATGTAAAGGCTAAATAGGTATCTGAGCCATATTTTCACCAGAATGACAGTGATGATTCCACCAAAAGTGAGGGTCATTTGCAGTTGCACTCACGTGTTGTACGAGTCGTCGGGGTGGTACAAGTCGAAGTCGAGGAAGACAACCTGCGCCCTTTCGATGCCTTCCCCACTGAAGTGGTAGGTGCAGCGAGTGTCCGCGGGGTAGCTGTCAGGGTAACCGGGGCTTGCGAATGTCCCGTTTCTTGACGCTGTGCTGCTGAACAACTGGTCGCAGCCGGACCCTGAAAAAGTAGAGTGACTTACACCAAGCTAATTGGAACAGGCCTAGCACTAAGCAATACAGAAATCAGAGCGTTTAGCAGCAATGTTTTGGATGCACTACAAGCAGAGTTAGGCGCCTTCCTGAGCTACAATGCAGATGTTCAGGAGAAGATGGAGGCTTAAAGGGATTGATATTTTTGAAGATGGGCTGTGACTTCAGTCAGCGTCACAAGTTACCTTGTCCTCTTCTAAACTGGCCTCTGAGACTGGCTCCAGCAACGCGCAATGGCGCAACGGAGCCAATCTTGGTGGCCAACTTTGAGGATAACATGATCATTTGTCGTAAAGCTGACTCTAGTGATGAGCAGTCATCAAAAATAATAATCTATTTAAGTAACAAAATTATACTACAGGGTTCACTGACTACCTAGCGTCCCGATTTAAAAAACCTACTGCGTTACGCAAAAAAAAAAACTAGTACATATTGACCTCCGCACACAAGAAGTGGTCGTGAGTAATATTTCATTGATGACAATGAAAAATAGCAAATCATGATCAAATTTGTAACTTTACTCACAAAATTGGGAAGAGCTCAATGAGATATCTCTAGGCCTACTACTGTACTATTTGGAGCAACGTCCTAATCACGCGCAATTTTTTTTGCTGATAAAGAAAGCTTGAGATATTCAGAAAATACCTCGTGACTATGCTCCCACCCACATCAGAAAGAATTATCGTCAATTAAGTTCGTTGCGAGCAACCATGTCGCCGGTCGAGCGCCACCAGAGGAAGCGCTTCGCTCTTTTTTACGCATTCATGCCTTTTGTCGTACTTTCTTTGCGCTTTTTTTCATAATATACGGTCAAAAACTTGCCCAGCCATCGCTGATAAATAAACCCGAGTTAATTCTCAGGAATTATTTGCTTCAAAATGTGATGGTATTTGTTTCCAATATAATTTTTTTATCTCTGTATCCTTCTCTTTTCCGAAGTTCGCTGTTGCGTGCTAGCTATAATTCAATGAAAAAGTATGTGTTAATGTGCTTGCGAAGGATCAGTTTGAGAGAAATGAAAGAGATAAAGACTCAGGAACAATTTAAGTGCATAATCGAGGCGTTGCGATTTCGCAAAAGCTCGATCGCGGCTTGGCAATCTGTTCTCAAACTTCGTTCAATGCTTTCTCCAGAAGCGGTGTTTTGAGAGCGGTGGAACAATGCCTGAATGCGCACAATAGCACACCGTACAGTTTCGCATAGCGCTGCCGACGCGGGCACATAAACTTGGAGATCGCTGTCTATCTATGTGAGTGATCACCACGTTAGCGCATCCGAAACCCTTCCAGAAACCAAGTTTTCTTCTGTACCTCGGCTTGGCCGGCGTGTCCTGAAAGAAAGGCTCAACCCAATGCCATTATGGCAGCCGAGAACACTGAATAGGCAGCTGGTAATTAATTAACGAAGGCGCTCTATTCACAAAACAGAAGCCCCCCCCCCCCCCCTTCCATAATGGCGAGTGAAAAATTAGCGCGGACTGTCACACGCCGCCGGCGACTGAGCTAGAAAGCTAGACAGTTACTGACGCCAAAATGGAGTTTTTTTAAGTTTCTGCGCCTAGCGCTGTGGCGTACGCTTTGTCAGGAACTACAAGCTGCACGGCTTCAGGGCCTCATCAAAGCGGGAAGGCGACCCCATACCTTGACGCTGTGTCCGTGTAAGTGGCTGCAAGCAAACAACGCGCAATCTAGAAGGCACCTTTCTCGCTAATGACGTTAAATATGGTTACAGAGAATAACTTACCATGCTTTTTTTAGAGTGCCAAAACTAAAATATGATATTTAGACACGCTGTGAGGGAGAATTGAGGCGCAATTTCTCGGCCACCTCGGTACTGTTTGAATTACACTTGAATCTACAACTGTACGGGCATTATTGGAAGTAAATCTCGAACTTTCATGGTTCAGATTAAGGCGTCTAAGTTAAGTTTTGAACAGGGCATGGTTAAGAAACAAAAATCACAGCATATCCACGGACTGAATGATGATGACTGGGGCGAAACGTCCGTCCGTCTGTTTATGCACCGTCCTTCCGTCCGTGCGTCTAATCGTCTGTATGTCCGTCCGTCCAGTGAACACTCCAAGTACCACAATCTCACATCTTTTCAGCATACATTGATTATATACAAGTACCGATATCTAGCGGACATTCCAAGAACTAAACGAGAGGTGGCTAAAGAGAGATAGAGAGAGAGAGAAAGATGCAAGGAAAGCCAGGGAGGTTAACCAGACGCTAATTCGGTTTGCTACCCTGCACTGTGGAAGGGATGAAGGGGAGAAAAGAGGTTGCAGAGAGATAAAGGCACACACAATCACGAGCACACTCGGGGGAGCACACACAGTCTACAGGTGGTCACTTAGTTTTGTTGTCTTCAAGTAATGTGGGAGTGCTTTAGTCGCTTTCTGCGCAATTGAGGCAGACACTCAAGGTCCCAGAACCTTCTGCACAGAGAATGGTCTAGAGTTCAGTTCGTTCAAAACCATCCGGAGCTGGCAATGCTGCGTGTCGTAGCAAGCGCAGCTGCAGAGGACGTGTTCGATGGTCTCTTCAGTTCCGCAGGAGTCGCATGTAGAGGTGTCTGCCATACCTTTGTGAAAGGAGTACACTTTTTTGAATGCAACACCCAACCAAAGGTGGCATAACAGTGTCGCATCGGAGCGGGAAAGTTGTGTTAGTAGCTGTACTTTGAGCGAAAAATCTGGTTTATATAAGTGACACCTTTGGAAGCTGGCAGACGACCAGAGCATGCGTGTAAGATCTCGAGCCAGCAAGTAAAGTTGTCTTGCTGCATCGTTCCTTGGTAGGGGAAACAGGACCACATGTGTTCCTTTATGGGCTGCAGCGGGCTCCATCATCGGCTAATTAATTTCCAGTAATACCGATATGTCAAGGCAGCCACTGATATATAATATCATGCCCTTGTATAATAGAGCTTGATGGTGGAAATGTCTTATTTCTTGTACCAATTGGTCATGACTCCTCCTACGCATGGCAGACTGCAAACTCTGAAGCGCTGCCTTCGAATCACAGAATGTGACCAATTTTCCTGGACGTTCTTGAACGAGATATCGTAAAGCAGCCCTTATAGCAGCAAGCTCTGATGCCGTAGATGTAATCATAGGTGACAACTTAAACTTGATTGTCATTGCTGCAGCCGGAATTACAGCAGCACCTGATGAGCTGCTGGACGAGACCGACCCATCAGTGTATATCTGCGTTAGGTCCAAGTACAACTCATATAATAATAATAGTGTTGCTTCAATGCTACTCTGGAGCGATTGCTTTTCTTTTTGATACCCGGAATTTCTGGACATACCTGCGGCTGATCGAAGCACCACAAGGGACATGCAATTCTCGTAGCTGGCATATATCCTGATGAAATGCTCTTTAGATGCTTGACTATGAAGTCTGAAAACGTAGCACGTGGTCTTCCGGAGGGTAGAAGAGCCAAGTGGTGGTCGGGGACACGGCTAGCAAGTTGAGTGTGCGCTCTGAGGCAATCCACAACTCTATATGGCCTGACCGGATGGTCCTTGGCAAGCACGATTGTGGCATAGGTAGAAGCGCATTGGGGATCCTAGGCAGATACGCAGCGCCTGGCCCTGCAAACTCTTCAATGATTGAGTATTGAATATCTAAGTGTTCGTCAGTACTGGCAAGACCCATAAATATGGCCCTGTACAACTGTAGCATGGAGGCCATAGAAGTTCCCCATGCTTTCCCGTACATGAATTTCATTATATGCACAATAGATAGTCTCTTCTTCAAGTAATCGCCTGAGCAAAGTAATCAGTGACACCGAGGAAGGTAAGCTTTAGCGGGCGGGGGCCGTTTTCAGTGCGAAGTCCCGAATTCGCTGCAAGGATTTCCACACTGCCGAATAAGGCGTTGGTGCTACGTTTGTGTATTCCAGAAAAGATACTCTCTGGTGTACGTAAAATCAGTACACCAAAAAATACGCCCCACCGTGGTGGTCTAGTGGCTAAGGTACTCGGCTGCTGACCCGCAGGTCGCGGGTTCGAATCCCGGCTGCGGCGGCTGCATTTCCGATGGAGGCGGAAATGTTGTAGGCCCGTGTGCTCAGATTTGAGTGCACGTTAAAGAACCCCAGGTGGTCAAAATTTCCGGAGCCCTCGACTACGGCGTCTCTCACAAACATATGGTGGTTTTGGGACGTTAAACCCCACATATCAAAACACCAAAAATATCTAGCAAAAAAATATCCGTGCTGAATACAGGCCGGCAAAATTGTGAAGCTCACTCAGACATCACCCATGAAATATATTTTGTTGCTTGTACTCACTCGCACTCACACTCACAAAAATTTTGCCTGACCGATATCAAAGACTCGCAGGCGCCAGAATAATACTCACCCTGGCTCATTCAGACTGAATGCTTAATCTGAGTCTGAGTGAGTTCAAGTGAGTCGAGTCACAAGTCCTTTAGTGTAGAATAAGCTTCTTTCTTTAAGTAGTGTCAATGTTCTTTAACACCAATATCTCATGCAATCAGTACGCTTCCTGGCACTGTTTGATATAATACCTTCTAACATCAGTTTTAAGAGCTCGCGAATCAGTGAGGTAATGTTTTTTAAGGATGAGAATATACAATCTATATATAAGAAACTTTCAGGGAAAGTGGGAGGGAGGAGGTCAAGATACCCCCTTACGCAATTCGCAACACTCATCAATTTATATTGCAATGATGTACAAATGACACTGCTTTGGAATACGCGTTAGCAGACGTGGGTATAAGTGTAACTTTAGGAAAGGCTGACAATTATGCTGAAGATTCGCAGATTGGGCTATAGGTCGTCAAAAGAAAGTGAACTCACTCAGACTAACACAAGATATATATCTTCTTCTTTGGACTCACCCGGACTCGTGCTCACGAAAGTTTCCCCGAGCCGTACTCACTCAGACTCGCACTCACAAAAATTTTCTTCAACTGTACTAACTCGGACTCAGAT